ATTTGAAACAGAATTTTTCATTCTGCTTCTCCCTGTCCATAAATTAGGCTGAGCAGCAAACTAGACTCACACCCAACTTTTGTCTCCAAAACTTTGTCTCAAGCACTAGCCCTTCTATGAAGAATAAAACTCTTTCTGTCTTTTCTTAAATTATGGTACAGCTTACATAATATTGTACAGAACATCATTGCCTAGATAGACACAGCTACTACAGGATGGTGAATTAACTCCAAAATAGTTCTTGTGGACCCCGATTGTACAGAGACAGGTTGACTCCCACCAGGTGACCTGCACAACGGCCTTATGATTGAAACTGGTCAAGCAGAGATTGGGGGTATGGCACACTCAACCTCTGGGACCTGTTAGTCACCAAAACTACTTGTAATTGGTTGAATTGAGTATAATCTCCACCATGCAATCGAAATTAGAGGCTTTCCTAGTTGCAAGGAGGTTGCTGTTCTATTTTTATTCTGTTGTGAATGGACTGCCTGTCTGCCTCAAACACAACATTTTTACCAACAAAGATTTTTACATCACCTGATTACATAACTGACCGTCAGTGAATGTGTCAATTATTTTATAACTCAGAGCATAAAAGTTACAAAGCCAGACATCAGATTGAATCGTGTTGTGTAGTACATCACAAATTTTTATCTAAATTAAAGTTTTTATAATTCTGTATTTCTCACATGTAAAATGAATTATAAAAACTTCTTCTTTTTTTAATTTGATGGTTATGGCTTAAAGCTCAATCTCAGTATTTTATTTTCACTTTGTGTATGACAGTTAAAGAAGTGTAACTACAATCATGGGGAACACTGCAGATCTCTCCTGACAACCTTCAAAACACAGGGTTTTTGCTCAAAACACTGGCTGTTCACAGAGTGCTGTGTCAAAGTTGCACAAGCAACAGGAATGAATGCAGCCTTGAGAGGATTGAGATGGGTTCTGGAGTCTGGGAGAAGAGTAAGGAGGCATAAAATCTAGTGTGTTTGAGGTCCAGCATGAAGGTTCCATGATGATCCGGGATGCCATGTCATCTGCTGCTGTTGGTGCCGGGTGATTTGTTCTGTTTTTTGTGAGTCCAAAGTCAATGCAACATCAACCAGGAGAGCACTTCCTGTTTCCATCTGCTGGCAAACTTAGCTTAGCACCTGCTCACAGAACCAAAACTGCTGCCAAATGGTTTGCTAACCGTATCATTACTGCGCTTGAATGGCCAGCCAACTCGCCTGACCTGAAAAATACAGAGAAACTGTGGGTGATTCACAAGAGGCGAACTAGAAATACCCGAGTATGATGAGCTGAAGACCACTACTAAACAACCTGGGCTTCAACAACACCTCTGCACTACCACAAAGTGGTCACTTTCATGCCACATCTTGTTAAAGTAACCCCAACCAAGAATTTAGTATAAAAAATAAAACATAACCAGACAAGAAGTTAGAAAAATCTGTACTGCAAATCCTTTTTTTGTAGTTGATCTTTCACTATCACATTTAAAACTAAGAGCTGTATATAAGCCAAAATCATCAAAATTTTATCTGTGATGATTATCTGAAAGTTTACCTGATTTTAATTAATTGACAAAAAAAAATTCAAAGGCACTAGAACAGGAGTGTCAAATATAAGACCCGGACATAAAGGTTTTACTTTTAACTGTATTTTCAAACGTTTTACAGCTTTTACGAGTGATAATAACCTCTCCCATGTCCACTCATATTACACTAAATAATTAAGTTGTAAATTTCTGTATTTTATACATTTACTTGTTACGATGTAAGCCCAAAGAGTCATGCTGACAGATTTCTTTCATTTACAACAGCATGTATTTATTATGTACAAAAAGTGAGATGTACTGTGGAAATTGTGCTTCTTTTTCTTATATTAAGATATCTCATTGATTACATGTATAGTTAGAGGGGAGATTCACTAGTCCGGCCCACATAGGATCAAAGTGGGCTGTATGTTGCCCGTGATGTGAAATGAGTTTGACATCCCTGCACTAGAATATCCTTGATCAGTATGTCGCTGGTGGGCACAGAGGGGATGTGGATTTCTACAGGCTGCTAAAGATGATGGTTCTCATCTCATCATGGACATGCTGCTGTTTTTCACCAGTATTTTACGTCTTATATGTAGTCCTCTTTTCTTGTTTTCATGGCGAGGTTTTTTTAATTGTGTTTTAATATTAGCCACACCAGAATGCGAGGTCACAAGCAAACACAGAAGGGAGAAGGCCAGTGGCTACAAATTAACTTAAAGTATATCTGAGATAATCTTGACTAAGACCCACAATACACCAGACAGTATGACCAAGGGCATCTAGGAAAAGAAGAGAGAACACGATGAGAATTTCTTCTTTGGTATTACCTTGAGTGCCAATTAAACAGAAAAAAAAAAAACTCTTGTCAAGAAAACCTCTTCAGATTTCATTTGAAAATAGCCTATCTTGGAAGCGCCCTTCACTATTCATTGATTCAGGTCTTGCTGTAGGTTTTCTACACACAGTGCATAAAAGAAAAACGGATGATTGCAGACAAGAGTTGACACACGACTGACCCGTCTGTCTGAGCCCGCCGGTGTTGTCCTGCTTGCTGTGGCATATGGCCGTTCATATAAAACTCCCTTGACAGAACCTTGATCAATAAACATGTGGCCCTGCCTTCAAACATCGCATATCAGGCATTACGGATGGATAGCCTAGTGTTTGCCATGTCTTAGTCAGAAAAGACATTTATTTGCTGGATCAGTTTGTGAAGCAGTTGTTTGATAAACATTTCAATATGGGAGTGATAAATGTGCCATACTGCCTAGCCAACCAGTTGCATCTGTGAATCTGGCACAAGGGCAATCCGAGGTTTATGCTTTGGCTTCTGTCTTTATTCCTCTAACACTGTTTTCTCTCCGACACTCTGTCAACCGCCTAATTTTTTTTCCCCGGTCTTCTGTTGGTTCTCACGCTTTGGATCCCTTTTGAACAATTTCTCCAACCTCCCACTTCTCTCTTTTCCTGCTGTTTCCTCTCCCTCCTTCAAAAAGAAAAGTTGTCTCCAAGCTGTATTTCTTTATCCCAGTGTCCTTCTTGCTCCTGTATCGTTGCAAGTCTTCTTTTTTACTCTCTTGCTCGAAGCTCTCGTGGTCTCATTCAGCGCATACCAATAAATATCAGAGGGCATGAAACTTTCATGTTATCTGTGTATTTGTGTTGGGGTTATTTTATGTGTGTGTGTTTGTACTTTAAGGGTTGTTTTTTATTGATGTAACGCACACAAAAGAAAATGAAGGTAATTTTTATGTGTCGGTGTATCAATCTGCTCCACTTTTAATTTCCTATAGATTCTCATTCTAGTTTAAACTGCCACAAACCAGTGATCGTATATTTTTTTTAATCACTTCTGCAGCCCTTGAGTCTTTCATGTATGACTCAGCATCACAGTAAACACGATGTTATTTGTTTCCTTTGCCTCTGCAGGAATCCCCCTGTTTAGTCCTGAATTAACCCTGTTCAGTAATTGGCTGTGCCTCCCATGGAGAAGTGAACCATAACCCAACTTCAAACGCAATAATCGCAACGACAGCATCAGTGGGTGGTTGTCTGTGTATGTGGGGGAATGGGCGTGTGCATGTGTGTGCTTCGCTGCTATCTACCCTTGCCCCTGGTGACAGAATGTAAGGCAGAGAGGAAAAAGGGAGAACCTCAGCCCTGTCACTGGGGGGATGCTTATCACACTGGTCCAGGAGACAGACACGAACGCAAAAAAATGCACGGGTGTTGGTGCATACATACGTGGACAGGTGACACAAAAAACACAGTGGGAATGCACTTGGACTCTTAAAATGGGTACAAGCTGACAATTTGGCAACTGTAAATCGTTAATGGAACTGTTAATTTATCTAAAGAGTGCAATCTTGTCTTTTTTCATTGAAGGTGTCATCTTGGGATCAGTATTTTTACAGTCTTTAAGACTCAGAGGTAGACAGTGTCAGATTAGAATAAGAGTTAAATTAATCATCAGTAGCAGCCATACTCAGGTGCATGTTGTCATGTTTCTCTCCTGTGCACAGCTGTTCCTATTTCCCCAGGTTAGAGTGAAGGGTCTTAGGCCAATCCTCTGAGGCATAAAAGAGATATCACACCGCTGATAACACATTAGCCTTCACTTCCTCCACTTGCCCCTCATATGCCCCCCCCCACACCGGGCCCTGTCCTATTTTTCCATCTCCTCTTCAATATTCCATTCTCTGACCTATGCCTGTCTGATTTCCACTTCTCAGCTGTCTTCTCCACTCCTCTTCTACTCCGACTGCTCCTCCTCCTCCTTCTTCTTCTTCTCTCCCCCCAATAATACTCTTCATCCTTCTTGAGTGATAGGAGCAAGACAGAGACACGGTGAGAGGAGAGAAGACAGGAGAGAAGTCACTTCATCAACCACAGTCTGATAATTCATCAGCAGCTGTTTAGCGTGCTGCTACTTTGTCTTCATTAGCTGGCCCTGCTCTCCCTTCATTCAAAAGTCATTAGTGAAGTTATCAAAAATCCCACATTTTGTCCGTGTACCCTTGTTGCCCTTTTCAGCTTCTCGTTTTGGAGATACAAACTTGTCTCTTTCTGCTGTTTTGATATGATCAACTTTCTGCTGCATGTGATTAAAGATGCAGGAAATTACTGTCTACTTTCTGTCCAAAACTTGCAGAAATAGACTTTTGAGTTAAGTTTTTTTTTTTATTGAGGAAATATCAAAATGAGCCACATTAACCAATAGACATGACATAACTATATAACAATATTCTATCCAGAATAGATTGATTGCTCCTGAACAAAATGAAAATGGCTCTATTTGAAATGAAGTAATTTCTACCATGGATTTATTCAACAGCTTATCAGATGAGGATGGAATATGATGTTTGGTACAGTGCTAATGGAGCAGGTGTTGCAGATATGTGGAATGGCTTGGTTCGGAGTTTTGATTTTTCTTTTCTTATCCTTTTTTCCACAGATAACTACTGGAATGCAGCATCGTTCACGACTCCATCATCCTACCTGCACTTTGCCACCTTTCATGGTGAGACCAGCGCTGACATCTCCTTCTATTTCAAGACAAGCGCGGCCTATGGCGTCTTTCTGGAAAATTTGGGCAACACTGACTTCATTCGCTTGGAGCTCAAATGTAAGATTGTTTTGAATGATTCGGTGTGTGCACAAGAGCCATTCCTCTGTCTTTATCTCACTTTTTCCATCTCTTACTCTGTCTTTTTCTCTACCCTAGTGTGAGATTTATTCCAGCAGTCCGTCTGATAATGTCGGGTGTAACCTGTCACGCACACACACACACATAGGCACAAAGGCTAATGCAGGCGCACACTCGAGCAACAGTCATTTACCTGCCTGATTACAGCACACGCTTTGTGTGATTGCATGAGAGAGCAATCATTTATTTAAGGTAATTGGTGTGTGCAATAATTATGTCCATTATGATCCTCTGTTTAACCAAATCAGCCATTTTCAGGGATGACACAACACAAGCTCTCTCACACACATACACAAACACAATGTGTCTGTCTCTCTCTTTTATTCAATACATTTTTCACAAATAGAAGCAGAGCCCTTACAGCCTTTTGAAACACACAATCATACACCCACTTACAATGGGCAAATTCTATTTACTTCAGTGTTCAGTGTTTACTATCACACAGAGATACAAAAGCTTTGCACCAGTATGACTTTCTTTTTTTTTTTTTTTTTCGCCTGTCCCATTTGGTTCTTTAGCCATCAGAATTGTTGTCTGAAGACCAACAAGGATACCCAATAGATTTACTTTGCCAAATGGATCATCGTGGCATTACCGTATTGGTCCATTTGATCGACCTTTGTTTTTATTGTTTATTATATTTTATTTTCAGATGTTACAGACGGGACAGACATGAGTGAGGGATAGGAAAGGGAGAAAGAAAGAGGAAGGAAAAGAAAAACAGAAGGGGAGAGGCACAGTGAGAAAGGGGAAAAAAATCTCCTGGATCACCTGTTGAGAGAAGAATAGAAAACAAGCAAAAAAAACAAAACAAAGCAACATACTAAACACAACACCATCGC